TTTATCAGCCCGGACAAAAAATACCCCTATACTATAATAATTTCGCTGAAACCTACGCTCCTTCACTCAGCTTATTTACGTGCAGAGAGTTTAGGAGAGAAACCTTCGCTCAAACTTTACCTGCTGCATAAACCTTTGATCGTCCAAATTACGGAAGGTTTTCTCCTCCTTTCTCCTCCTATTTCAAACTAGAGAATTCAACTTTCTCGTCCAAATTTCACCATAAAATTACAGTAAGTTCTAAAATTTCAGATATCTCTATATGCTTTTGTGTGTTTGTATGGTATCACGACCCAAAATCTAACTAGTCGTGAAGACACTTAACCCAACCCGCTAGGTAAGCTAGTTAATCACTAACCAATTCCAATAACAATCAATAAAGCAATTAAGTAAAGAAATTATCTGAATCTGATACATTCCCCAAGAACTGGTAGTACAAATTATAACCTTCTAAGAATAGAGTTTACAAAGCGAAAATGAAATAAATACATAATCTGTTTTAATAGTACATAAACAGAGTTTTATAGACCTAGAGCTACCACGAACAAGGGGAAGTTACAACCGGGATGCAGGTACATCTTCAATCTAGCTCCCATCGAACACAACAACATCAGTAACCAACATGTGCACGCAAGGTGCATAAGTGTAGCATGAGTACAACCGATCTCATGTACTCAATAAGTAACAAACCTAACCTTAGGTTGAAAGTAGTGACGAGCTAACACAAGGTCGGGTACAACACCAATATTCCACAACAGTTCATAACAGCATAGTATAAGTAACAAAAGAGTATCTCAGAAATAAAAGGCTCAGTTTGTTCACAGTTCCAGAAAAGTAGGCATTTCTTTTCAAGTATCTTAGTGTAAACCCAAATCTTTTACCGAAAAAGCCAAAATACGAGTAAGTTTGAAAACTGCGATTTTTCCCAAAATTCTTTCAACAATAAGTAAGATGTTTCATTTTCTGATAGCATGAGGAAAGTACTTCTCTATGTCTACATGTCAAGATACAGGTAAAATCATAAATGTTCCCAAAACTAGGTAGCAGAAGGAAATGCACCTCTATGCATGTATCTCAAATACGTATGTCAAATGCAATGCATCTCGATGATGAGCTCATGTACTGACACTCTCAGAGTACTTAATCTCATTGTCTCACATTCTCTCTCACTATGCTCAATGCTTAGCCCACTCAATCACTTAGCGTTGTACAATTTCCGTTGCGACGTGCAGNTCCTTTCAGCCCAAGCGCTATAATTCGCACGGACAACTCAGTGCTGCACGGATAACTCACGTGCCATAATATCAATATCTAGAATCGCACGGATAACTCATGTGCCGCATGGACAACTCACGTGCTATAATATCAACATCTGGAATTGCACGGACAACTCACGTATTGTACGGATAACTCACGTGCTATAATATCAACATCTGGAATTGCACGGACAACTCACGTATTGTACGGATAACTCACGTGCTATAATATCAACATCTGGAATCGCACGGACAACTCACGTGCTATAATATCAACATCTCACAAACAAGCCCCCCGGCCTCGCTCAGTCATCAATCTCTCCAGACTTACTCACGGGCTCACAATGTCATGAAACTAGCCCGATAACAATGATATAAGGTATCAATAAATAACTGAGACTGCAATATGATATGAATGCCTGAATATGACTGAGTACGAAATATCAATGAAATCAGTGAGATGACCGTAAGAAACGACCACTATGGGTCCAAACAATATCGGCATAATGACTAAAGATGATATCTAGCATGATTGACAGATTAACTACTTTATCATATGGTGAAAATACGGATATCAATAAAGTAGGACCACTATACAATGCCATGGAAACAACAGAGTCCCAATTCACATGGTGCACGCCCACATGCCCGTCACCTAGCATGTGCGTCACCTCAATACCAATCACATAACACGTATTTTGGGGTTTCATACCCTGAGCACTAAGATTAGATTAGTTACTTACCTCGAACAATACAATATCAATGCCTAGAAAGCCAAACAATGCTCCAAATATACCATCTCGAATGGCTCGAAACTAACCAAAATAACTCAAATACATCAAATAAAGCCCAAGGAAACAATTCCAAATGATAAAGATCGAATCCTTAATCCAAACCCAAAATCGGCCAAAATTCACTCCGGGCCCATGCCTCGAAACCCAACAAATCTCATAAAATCCGATAACCCATTTAATTACGAGTCCAATCATACTAGTTTCACTCAAATTCGACTCCAATTCGATGTTCAAAACTCAAATATTTATATTATGAAACTTTAGGCCAAAACCCCCTAATTTCTTCTTTAAATTCACAATCCAATTACCAAAACGAAGGTAGATTCATGAAATATAACCAAAACCGAGTAGAGAACACTTACTCCAATTCATATGGTGACATTTGCTTCAAATATCGCCTCAATCTGAGCTTGGAAATGTTAAAATGAAGCCAAAATCGCGAACCCTTGTATTTATCATTCTGCCCAGCACCTTCGCACCTGCGACACATTAGCCGCTTCTGCGGCATCGCTTCTGTGCCATAACCTCCGCTTCTGCGGAATCAGCTGAGATCTCGACCCTTGCACCTGCAGACAAAATATCTGCTTCTGCTCCATCGCAGGTGCGAGCCATCATCCGTACCTGCGAAATACCTCGCTCCTGCACTTCATCACTTTGCACATGCGCATCCGCATATGCGCCCAAATCTTCGATTATGCGGTCTTCCTCACCCAGCACTCACCTCACCTCTGCGACGCCTTTGTCGCTTCTTTGGCCATCGCACCTTCACAAACCAGCCGCATGTGCGATTACACCAGAATCAGCAATAACAACATGAAGTGAAAATGATCTGAACCTCGTCCAAAACTCATCCGAGCCACTCGGGACCCCGTCCGAACATGCCAACAAGTTCCATAACACAATACAAACCTACTCGAGGCCTCAAAACACACATAAAAACATCAACACGACGAATCACACCTCAACTCAAAATCAATGAACCTTGAAACTTCAAACTTCCACAACCGATGCCGAAACCTATCAAATGAACCTTGACTTGCAGGATGGATACAATATGTATTATAGTTGCTTTCAATGGAAGATGGACCGTGGACTATAAGCATCTGAATCATCAAACAAAGCTTGTTCTAGTACCTGAGGCAATTCGATTTGAAGATTTCATCAATGTGGTCTTTGAAGTTATTGAATTGGATAGAGACAAGTTTGAAGCAATGATATGGTTTTATATCAACCTTGGAACAAGCAAGGGGATGCTTGTATCCAAAGATTTAGATCTTCACACATGTATAGAGTTACTAAAAGGTCATTCACTCTTCAAGGGCTGTCATTTCATTGTTGATGTTTCGGAAAGAGTTTTTGGCTCTACAAGCACCTTTGAACATGTCAACATAGAAACTCAATAAGACAATCAAGACAAATGCCAACAGATAATGGAAATAGATATGGTTGAACCTGAACCAATAATTGAAGAGGTGCTTCAAACATTTAATTCTATTCAAGTGGAAGGACAAAACATTATAGAGATTGACAACCAACAAGCTTTGGGTATTCAAGTCTTAAAGAGTGCACCAACAATTGAAGAAGTTGTTGAAAATCCTCTACTCAACTAACTAAACGAAGGTCAAAGTCGAAACAAAAAGAATCCCCAACTACAATATTAAGAGAAAATGCTTTGTTGGATGAAATAAAAGTGGGATCAATATTTGACAAAAAGAAGAGTATAATTAACTGTTTTTCGAATATAGCAATTAAAGGACATTTTGAATTCAAGGTTGTTAGATCAAGCTCAACAAGATATTCTTTGAAATGCAATGATGAAAAGTGTGGGTGGTATGTACGTACTTTAAGAATTAAAGATTCAACACTATTCAAGATAGTAAAGGTTAAAAAAAATCATGACTGCATAATTAACACTATGAAAGCTGATCAAACGCATGCAACTTCAAAGTTGATTAGTAATTACATTATTGACAATCTTCGAAACCCAATGTTTGAAGTTACACCAGCCTTGTCATGGCCGAAATGCAAAAATTGCATGGACTAGACATTGGGTATCACCAGGCATGGCGTGCTATAAAACGTGCTTCACCTTTAATAAGAGGCACTCCTGAAGAGAATTATGAATTGTTGTCTTCTTACTTGTACATTATGAAAAATAAAAACCCGGGAACATACACTAACATAAAGACACACGACAATAACAGGTTAACAATCAAAAAGAGTTTATTAATCTGTTTTAAACTTTAGGACATTCCGCCCTTAACTTCATGTGTGCAATGTAAAAGTTAAGGACATGGTATCCTTAACTTTGATGTGTGCAGTATAAATATTAAGGTCGTGGTGTCCTTAACTTTGATGTGTGCAGTGTAAATGTTAAGGACATGGTGTCCTTAACTTTGATGTGTGGAGTGTAAATGATAAGGACATGGTGTCTTTAAATTTGATGTGTGCAGTGTAAATATTTAGGACATGGTGTCATTAGCTTTGATGTGTGCAGTCCTAAATTTTTATAGTAGTACTGAATTTTTGTTTATTTTTTCAGGTTTCTTCATATGTTTTATGCATATGGATCATCAATAGCTGATTGGAATCATTGTAGACCGGTGATTACTGTTGATGCAACTTTTTTGAAGTCAAAATATCGTGGTGTTTTAATGATTTCAGTTTCAAAGGATGCAAATAACTAAATATTCCCACTAGCCTTTGGGATTGCAGAATCTGAAAATAACAACTCCTATGAGTGGTACTTTAGTGAGCTTCACAATGCAATTGGGAGCCGTGACAATTTAATTTTTTATCAGATAGGCATCAATTTATTGCACATGGCACCGCAAACGTATATCCTGAAAGCCACCATGAGATTTGTATCTATCATTTGGAGCAGAACCTAAAGCGAAGGAAAGTGAAAAGTGAGGTCATAAAACCTTTTCAAAGTGCTGCAAGAGTATACATGCGCAAAGAAATTGATCTCTACATGTCAGAGATAGCAAAAGTTGATAAGAAGACTTTTGACTACTTGATGGAAGAACCACCGGAAAGGTAGGCGCGTTCTTGTTGTCCACGATAAAGATATGACATGCTCACAACAAACGTAGTTGAGTCAATGAATTTTATGCTATTAGAAGCAAGGGAGCTGCCTATATTGAGAATGATGGATTTCATCCAAGTGAAGCTAGAACGTTGGTTTTATGAAAGAAGAAATGAATCGGAAGGAACTTTTTATGATGTTTCATGTTGGGTTGAAAAGGAATTGAATAAAAAGATAGATTTAGCTTTTTCTTTAAATGTAAGTATTATTTTTTTACTTTAGCTTATTATTTTAATGATAGTTTAATATAATGTACTAACTTATAGTTTTTCAACTTTGAAGATCTCCCCTATTGATTCATTGCGTTCTAGAGTCCGGGAAGAAGGAAATACTTTCTTGGTGGACTTAAACAAAAGAACATGTGATTGTTTTCAGTTTCAATTTGATGAACTACCATGTGTACATGCAATTTCAGCTATCGAGAAGAGAAACATCAAGAAGTCCAATTTCTGCTCGGACTGGTACTTAAAGGAATCTTGGCTGAAAACATACGAAAGACATATACATCCTGTAGGACATATGGATTCTTGGATTGTACCAGAGAGTGTTAAGTCACAAATTATTAAACCTCCAGATTTCAAGGTCTCGCCAGGTAGAAGGCAGAAGAAAAGGCATATTCCAGCTACCGAATCATCAAAAATAACGTTCAAATGTGGTCGTTGCAGAAGAATTGGTCATAATAGAACATCTTATATATATATTCTCCGGCAGTCCACCTATTTTCAAGGAAGCATAGTGTCACGACCCAAAATACGACCTGTCGTGATGGCGCCTATCATAGTACTAGGCAAGCCGACACCTCGCACATACTAACACTTTTAAAACTCGAATATGCAGAAGTAAGTTTAAATAATTTAAGAATTTCACAGATACTGGATATGAACCTCAAAATCAATACAAGAATCCTCTCAAAAGATTTGGGTGTCACGGAGTACATGAGCATCTATATATATATATATATATATATATATATATATATATATATATAATAACATAGTCTGGTACATTGTCAGGAAAGTAAGACAAAAATACATAAAACTGAAAGATAGAGAAAGGAAGATCAAGGTCTGCGGACGCCAAGCAACTACCTCGATGATCTCCGAACAGGTAGACTCCACGATCAACAACCGTTGTTCCCGAAAATGCCTGAATTTGCATACGAGGTGCAGGGTATAGTGCGAGTACAACCAACTCAATAAGTATCGCAAATAAACAAGGCAAGGTAAGAGAGGCTTAATTTGTTTAGGTCACTAGTTAAATCAATACAATTCTATCCTTTTGGATTGCCATAATATAAGATTAAAACTAGCTCATAAAGCTTCATGATACGAATATACGTGTGTGCATATACACTGGTTCTCAAATACCCTGCTCAACACTATTATGGCATGTAGGGAAAAGAAAACAAGTAAATCGGATAAATGATCAAGAAAATACAAGTTTCACACACTACACGGACAACTCACGTGCTAACAATAGAATCTGCACGGACAACTTATGTGCGACACGGACAACTCACGTGTTAATAATATCAATATATGATTCGCCCGGATAACTCACGCACTGCACGGACAACTCACGTGCCAATAATATCAATATATGGATCCGCACGGATAACTCACGTGCCATTAACATAATCTGTTCGGCATAGCTGCAGGCCCCAATCCAAAATATCATACAGAAGCAATAAAGCAAGTGTACAGGTATATAATGAATGAAATAAGATTCTCTTATCCCTGGCCTGGTGTAAATAACATGCTATAGGGTAGGCATATGCAAAGTGTGCTATCGTAGCTCAATCCGGAAGTTGCATCAATGAAAAGCATTTATCAAGTTCGTTCAGGGATTAAACCTCTAAGTAGACTCATCATGGCTCAATTAGATCACATAAACCGTTACCACATGTTAGATATCGAATCTCAAAGCTTAACAATCATTTTTGGGCTTATAGGAGCCCGAGCTCAACCCGAACATGAATCTACAACCCCGGTGCCTGGACATGGGATCATCCCCACGCATGTGCGCACCCAAAAGCATGTAGCTATCACAACAGTTCAGGACTAGTGCCTCAACCGAGTTTAAATATGATACTTACCTCAAGAACCTCGAATCACTCCGCTAGCAAGCCCTTGCCTTGTGAATCGGCCTCCAAGCGCCTCAAATCTAGCGATAAATAGTTCGATACAATCAACACGAGCTAAAGGAATCAATTCCATAATAAAATAATAAGTTCTTAATCAAAAGTTAAAAAGTCACTCTCAAACCAGCCCCCAAGCCCACGTCTCAAATCCGGTAAAAGTCTAAATTTTCGGAAGCCCATTCAACCACGAGTCCAACTATACCAAATTTACCAAAATCTAACACCATATCAACCCCCAAATTCCCAATTTTAATTCTCCAAATCCCTATCCTCAACTCCCAAAATTACACCTCAAAACCACACAATCTAGGTGGGCAATTCAATGGGAAAACAATATTATTGGTTAAAAATGAGCACAAGGGAAAGTAACACCCCGGAAAATTTTGAAGTGTTTTATGATCATTAAGAAGATTGGCGGGTGCTAATTATATTAATTCGGGTATGAACAAGACTAATAATTTGAATGATATCAATTTATCATAATAATATAGGTATGATGTGTATTAAGAATGGTTTATGGTCTAAGAAGAGCCCTAAGGCTAAGTCAAGTTGAAAATTATCTGATGGGATAAAGTTTTAAGTGAGTTCGCACAAGACCTAAGTTCCAACAAAAGTAACTCTCAAGATATGAAGATTTATATGGTGTATAACCTATCAAATTAAATCCCTTTGTAGCTAGTTTCTAACGCATTAAACCGTTTGTCATTTGGATATGTATATAGAAAGTTATGGCCATGTTAATGAACATGTGTCATATGTGCGCCCAGTTGCGCGGCCGCGTATATTTGAGAGTTTCTGCCTCAGGTGTGCAGCCAGATGCACGGCCACTTGCCCAGGTGCGTGGCCGCGCATGTAGGAGCCCATTAAATAACTCCAAGGATGAGTAGAGAGAGGGGCTAAGTCATTTCTTCAATACTGGGGCTTTCTCTCCATCACCCATCCGGCCAAGGCTTCCAATACATACCTAAGGTGAGTTTTTAAGTTTGTTTTTATGATGATTTCACTTCTCAATCACTATTTACAACAAGGTTTTGATTGGATTCCATAGGATTTCTTCAAAAATCTCAAGAACACCCCAAAAGTTGTATTTCAAGATTTGGTCTACAATAGGTATGTCTACTACCTCTAACTAATTCATGGTGATTATTTATGTACGAAATATGTGTTAGGACTTATGGGATGGTGATTGGAAGCAATAAGTTTCCAACCTAGGTGTGTTGGTATTATAAAATGAATTAATTGATAAGATTTGTGGGTTGGGAGTGAATTGTTATGCATGCATATGCTAAGGAAAGTTGTGGATGACCTAGAGACAACTGTGAGATCAATCATTTGTGTGGAAGGTGATTGGTAGGTGAAGAAATTTCATTGAAGGAGGTTGTAGAAACATATGCACATTAGATGTTTGATAAAATATCTAAATGGCTTAAAATATAGAAATCTTGCTAATATTGGCGCAATTGTGTTGCATTGTTGTAGATTGAAATTTGTGTAGTGTGGTGGACCATCGTAGTATTTTGAAGGGGAGAATTTCAGATTTGATACGTACAGAGGTGGCTTCACTCGCAAAGATCATTTAAAGTATCGGTTTTGTTTCGTCAAGGTAAGTATCTTGCCTAACCTTGAGTGGGGGAATTACCCCTTAGGTATTGAGTCTTATGTGGAAATTATGTAATTGAAAACCATGTACGCGAGGTGACGAGTACGTATTTGGTTTAGATGTGCAAATTATATCGGTTGAAATTCGTAGATGCACTTATGTATTATATTGAAAACATTGTTGGAACTTAGTAAATCCTTGATTTGTCATGCCTCATTCCTTGTTTGTCGAGTTTGTATTCTATATGAAAATTTGGTGTGATTGCCACTTGGATGTTTATGAGAATTCACATTATGGATTTTTCATCTGCAAATAATTAATTAAATATGTTTAAATTGAGGCGTTTATATATTTATCTAAAATTTGGATTAAGGAAGGCGTTGTCCTATGCTGAGTTATTTTCCCATCCTTGTTGTTATTTTTAAGATTTTATATATATTGTGTGGAGAAGTGGACTACCTGTTGTGAAATTAATTATCTTTGTTGTACCTTTGGAAAGGTTGTGGCCTACGGGATTTTTGTAAATACGAGTTGATGATGTTGTGATAATATTCTATGTGAATTGTTTTATGATTTTGGGTTACTGTTATGCGGCGTATAAGGGTGGCATTCCATTATTGACATTATGCGGGCATAAGGGTGGCATTTCACTGTTGTTATGTGTGTTGAGATATTGTCTGGGCGGAGTTATAAGGGAGTCTATTAAATAGAGCGATAAGGGAGGCTATTATAGGAGCGATAATGGTGGCTATATGAGCGATAAGGGTGGCTATATGAGCGACAAGGGTGGCCATTGATATTGTCAGGGCGGAGGGATAAGGGAGGCTATTATAGGAGCGATAAAGGTGGCTATAGGAGCGATAAGAGTGGCTATAGGAGCGATAAGGGTGGTTATATGAGCGATAAGGGTGGCTATTGCTATTGTCAGGCCGGAGGGATAATGAAGGCTATTATAGGAGTGATAAGGGTGGCTATAGGAGAGATAAGGGTGGCTATTATCAGGGATGATATGTGATGATGCAGGGTTATTGTGTTTGTAATTTTTATGTAATGATGTGGGGTTATTGCGTTGGTAATTTTCATGTGATGTTGTGATTTTTCTTGTGTTTATTTTTATATCTTGTGCAACTTGTCTTGTTGTTTTGGTAAACTTGATAATAGTCTGTTCTATGTCGAAATTGTGAGCCTGTGGCTATTGCTGGGCGGATTATGTTATGTGTACATGAACTGTTCGTACATATGTACTATGAAATATGGGCACGAGGTGCTAGGGAAATATAATGATTATGTTATTGGTACGTGAACTGTCCGTGCAGATGTGATATGAAATGTGGGCATGAGGTGCAGTGAAATATAATGATTATGTTATTGGCACGTGAACTGTCAGTGCAAATGTAATATGAAATGCGAGCATAAGGTGCCGGGGAAAATATGATGATTTTATTATTGGCACATGAGTTGTCCGTGCGGTTTTGATAGAAATATGGGAACAGGGTGTCACGAAAATATGAAAGTGGGCTGAGGCCCGTGTTTAAAGATTATGAAATGAGGTGTCACAGAGTGACTTTTATTTAAAAGAATTTTATATTGGAAAGATATTTATTTGAAAAGAAATATATTCGGAAGGTATTTATTCGAAAAAATTATATGTGAAAGATTTATATTTGAAGGACATGTTTAATTGGTCGTACTTGTATTCCTTATTCGTTTGAGTAATAATTATGTTGTTCTTGTTGCCTGGTTGATTTTGTAGCTATTATTTCTAGTTGTTTTCCAGTACTATTGTATATTGCTATATTGCACAGGTTATTTGACTAGTGAGTGTCTTGACAGTACCTCGTCACTACTCCACCGAGGTTAGTCTTGATACTTACTGGGTACCGACCGTGGTGTACTCATACTACACTTCTGCATATTTTTGTACAGAGCCAGGTATTGGAGATATCGGAGTCGGGGCAGAGTTAGTGTGTTGATCGCAAGGATTCAAGTTAGAGCTGCTAGGTCGTCGCTGTCCCTTAAAGTCTTTCTATTTTATTGTACTATCAACTTTTATTCGAACTGTATTGTATATTCGATCCTTAGGATCATTACATGTATCCAGTTAGAGTTTGTGACTCAGTATTACCAGTCTTGGGAAGTTGTTATATTTGTTTCCGCTTTTGGTTTTGACACTTGTATTAAATTATATGTTTTAAAAAATGGCTTTAAATGAAATTGACATCGGCTTACATAGTCTTAGAGACTAGGTGCCATCACGACGCTTGAGGTGGGATTTTGGGTCGTGACAAGTTGGTATCAGAGCTCTAGGTTCATAGGTTCTACGAGTCACGAACGACTTTAGTAGAGTCTTGCGGATCGGTACGGAGACGTCTGTACTTATCTTCGAGAGGCTACGGAACTGTTAGGAAATTTCCACTTCTTTTATTCTTGTCGTGCTGAATTTGTTGAAATTGGAATTTGAGCCTTTTCATCTCTATTCTTTCATAGATGGTGAGCACACGTGCTACCGGGTAAGCTGAGCAGACACCCGCGCATACTGCTAGAGCCGCAAGAGGCCGGGGCCGAGGTAGAGGACGAGGAAGGGCACATGTCATGAATAGAACACTTGTTAGAGCAGCAGTTGAGGAGCCGCCAATAGCTCCAGTTGGGGGACAGGTACCAGAAGCACCTGTTGTTACCCCCGGACTTTAGGAGATTTTAGCATAGTTCTTGAATATGTTTGGTACATTAACTCAGGCGGGATTGATCTCTGTTGCACCAAATATTGCATAGATTGGGGGAGTAACTCAGAATCCCAACGCTCGTGCTTCAGAACAACATGTTCACATTGGTCAGGGTTCGGGTATAGTACCGGTACATCATGTTATTCCAGTTCAGCCTGAGGTCAGGCCAAAGGCATCAGAAGAAGAACAAAAGAGACTTGAGAGATTTAAGAGGTATAGTCCACCTACCTTCAGTGGCACAGCTACTGAGGATGCCCATGGATTTCTAGAAAAATGTCACCGTATTCTCTGCACCATGGGTATTGTGGAGGTGAGTGGAGTTGCCTTTACTATATTTCAATTGTCAGGAGCAGCGTATTGATGGTGGCAAGCTTATGAAGATGACAAACCAGCCGATGCAACACCACCAACTTGGGCTAAATTTTCGGAAATATTTTTTAAAGAGTTTGTTCCCCAGACTCTATGGGATGCATGCCGCACAGAGCTTGAACGGTTACATTAGGGCACCATGACGGTGTCAGAATATGCTATCAGGCTCAGTGAGTTAGCCTGACACACACCTATATTAGTTCCTACAGTCAAAGAGCGAGTCCACAGATTCATTGAAGGGCTCGATTATGATTTTAAAATAAGCATGGATCGAGAATTGCAAACTGACATTCCATTTCATCAAGTAGTAGAGATTGCCAGGATGTTAGAACATGTTTGAAGTGAGGAAGATGAATCTAAAGAGACAAAAAGGTCTCGAAGCTCTGCAGGGTTCAGTGGATTTTACTCTTCAACTATGACCCATTATGGCGGAGGATCGAGCAGTCGGCCAGCTCAACCCGCACATTGGATTACTCGGGGTGCTCCAGTAAGTTCTTATAGTACACCACCGACACGAGGTTCTTACAGTGGTTATTCCAGTTATTCGGCACAGACTCAGTACGAGTAGTCGCGACCTCAGAAGGGTTGTTATGAGTGTGGTGATAGTAGGCATATCATAAGAGATTATCCTAGACTTGGGAGGGATGGATTTCATCAGAACACTCAGGCTACAAGAATTATTCCGGTTAATACTCCATATGCACATCCAACTAGGGGTGGAGGACAAGCGGGTAGGGGGTGCCCTAGAGGAGGAGGTCCAGTCTGTTGATATTTTTACTATGGAGTGGTTGAGGCCACCACACCATATGATGTTGTTATAGGTACGATCCTGATTTATTATAAAGGGATATTTTCCTTAATTTGATTCGGTTCTGAATATTGAGGTGAGTCCTCCTATTATGCTCCGCATATGGGTGAGCTTCGTAATATTGTGACACAGTTTTATGTTTATCCTTGTTGGGAGATTTGATGATGTTAGACCGTGTCTATCATTTTTATTTTTGTACACGATTGAGGGCTGTAAGTCCAAAAGTGACTTTCTATTACTCACTACAGTGGGTTTTTACGTGATTTTGGAATAATTGGTCTCAATTTTATGAATTATATGACCTATTGGTATGGGATTTCATTATGTGTCGTGAAA